TGACGACCCTCCCGCTTTAAATACAGTCATGCAAAATGTGAAATACAATTCCAAAGCTAAACAACTGGGCAATTGACAAGTAATTTATTTATTTCCTTCTGATCGCGACATGGAAGATTTTATTCTAAATAAGTACAGGTTATTAATATGTATTTGTTTCATTTCAATTAATCTTGGTTTATTGTTCTCAGACACATGATACGTAATTTGAATCAGTTCTTAATTAATATATGAATAGCATGAATAATATGGTTTTCGTGGTTTGTTGGTGTATGGTTTCTGCTTTCAGATACGGCCAGGATATGCAAGTGTCGTTGTCTTATTTAAAAGTGTATGGGATGCAATCACAGACCCCACCGTTGGTATTTTAATTGACAAACTTGACTCAAGATTTGGAAAAATTAAACCATGGCAAGTTTTCTTTTTTACTGTTAAAATGTTAAGAGAGTGGATATATACTAAATCACAAAGACATTAAGAATAGATTACAGTTTCTTTCATCGAAATATGTGTCTCTATGAAAGAGTTGCCGGGTGGGACAAAGTGATAACTAGACACATTATAATGTACCAATTTCGTGGTTTTATTTTTATTTTAACGATCATCATAACATAACAGTTTCTATATGTAACTAGAGGGCGCTGTTCAGTTTGCACAACATTAAACATGTTCAGATACAATTCGACTCAAAAGTGCACAGTATTGCATATCGACTCTTTCTCCCTTCAATTCTTCGCATTCTATCTTCTCTCCTCGTCGCTCTTTTTTCTTTTTCTGTATCTCTTTTTCTCTACTTCCTACATCCCTTCCCTTACCTTTTCTCTATTTTCCCATGCCTGTCTGTCTTTCATTGAATCCTTGTCCCCATCTATCTTTCTATTTCCCCACCTCCCCTTTGCACCCAGTCTGAATTTTGTTCGTGTCCAACCCACCCACATTAGCATTTTTGATATTGTAGTATTTTTGGTATTGTGTTTTTCAAACTTGTGTAAAAGTTGTGTAAAATGATGTTCGATAAAGAAAAAAAAATGCAAACTATAATAACTGATACTACAGTATGTTGCCTTTAAAATTATGTTGCCTTTAAAAATATGTTGCCTCTAAATATATGTTTAAAAACCATCAACTTAATACTTTTAACAAAATACCGAATTCAAAAGGATACATGTTTGCAAATATAAAAATTGCTTAGGTCGGACCATTTTAAGATTAGATTTTGGTACAGTACTGTATGTGTCCCCGTTATAAGAAAGCCGTGAATTATAACAAAATGAATAGGTAAATCTACAGATTAAAAAAAAATGTTCAAAAAAGTACATATCATCCTTAATAATGTGTATGTAAGTACAAATTGTTATTCCTATAGGTTAGTTGTGTCAACGCCATTCGCTATGCTCAGTTATTTCTTGTTATGGTATGTACCTGATATTAGTGACGTTGCAAAACTTGTGTACTACGTTCTGATCATGTGCTGCATGCAGACGTGTTTGACTGTAAGTATGTAATTCAAAACATATATATTTTATGACATTTGTATAACATACAGTGAGTGAGGTTAATACAACATCATTTAAGGACGATATCCATGTTAACAATAAAGGCGGCTTTTGACTATCCACTCTTTCCATTAGCGGAAACTCGTTTGTTCAAAATTGTTTGTTTGAAAATGTACCTTTTTTGCAATTTCCACTCAAAAGGGAAGTACGCAATCCAGATTTTGTTATTGTTATCAACAGTTTAAAGCGGGGGAGTCGTGACCTGCGCATGCGTCAGATGGCCATAGTGTGTCACTGTTCACAAACAAGCATCTACCCATGAGCCTTTGCGTTCTTAGCGTGTGTTGTTATCGTCGCTTGGGACTCAATTCCCGCGCGTGCGCAGGTGACGACCCTCCCGCTTTAACAATTAAAAAAAAAACACAATATATCCTGTATTGTTTTGTTTATTTGCATTTAGTGCTCAAAATAGTAATTTCAAAAAAATATGAATACGTTGTCTTTATTTATAATAGGACTTTCTTTTTTTACTTTTGACGTTTTCTCGCCCAAACGGTAGATTATTAGTATAACATGTGAGAATCAATTGTGACAGAATTGGAAACACCTGTTTATAAGATACGAGCCGAACTAGAAAAGTGGAACACGGGTATTTGCATAGAAGTATTGCCTGGTTTTGACTGTTGTCTAAAATCATAATGGTGATCCCTAATTCTCTTATAGTAGTTGGCAACTTGTTAAAGGGCGGTGGTCGTTACGCAGCGCGTGCTCGAATTTCACGTAAACAAACAATGTAATCTACACGCGTTGTGTACGTCGCGATGAGTCCCATATCGAACAGGACGCGGCGCGACGACATTTTACACTTTAAAGGGGAACCGCTCAATTCCATGGATTGCACCAAAGAATCATGAGACACTATTGTTTATGTTGTTTACAATGTTAATCTAACTGTTGTTATCCATTTTAATCCAGAAAGTAAATTTGTTGTGAGACTAGGCTTAACTGGAAGGTGCCCCTTTAAATATGTTAAATATTCGAACGGGTATCGGAGGGGAACTAAACGATGGATTTATCTGTTTGCTGACTAAACATGGCCTTTTAGTCTTATCACAAGTGTAAACGAAACACTCCAAAACTGTTATTGTTGTGTAGCGGATAAGGTGGTTAACCCATTGCCCTAATCGCTCGATGTCACGAACTAAAGGTTCGTGCGTGATTTTACTGAGGGGCCGCGTATTTTAATTTAGAGTAATTGTTAAAGCATGCGCCCAATCAATATTGGCAAAGGTGAGGGGGTTACTCAAACATGGCTCTTTAATAATGCATACATTTGTAAAAAAAAATAAAAAATAACCCAATCCAAGTAAGAAAACATCAAAACCGAACCGTATTTGAGAAGTAATTCCCCGGAACGACATGTACGATGTAATACAGATTCACCGGGGTGATTCGCTGATGGATTCGCCGGGCGATTCATGAATACAGATTCAGACAGAGATTCGCTGATGGATTCGCCGGGGCGATTCATGAATACAGATTCAGGCGGAGATTCGTTGATGGAATCGCAGGGGCGATTCACAAATACAGATTCAGACAGAGATTCGCTGATGGATTCGCCGGGCGATTAATTAATACAGATTCAGACAGAGATTCGCTGATGGATTCGCAGGGGCGATTCACAAATACAGATTCAGACAGAGATCCGCTGATGGATTCGCCGGGGCGATTCACGATTTCGGAGCGTCCATATCTTTGACGGGCTCCCCGCCAATCTCAGATTCTCACAGTTTAGACAGCTTGTAGAAAATTGGTCATACTGCGTGTCCGAGCTTTTCAGGCTTGGAGCCTATTGCAATTAGTCTATGTATTGGTTGATAAGATACGTGGTATGATTTTTTTAAATAGTGTTAAAAAAATGCAATATTATTTCGATGAAAAACTACGTATTTCAGTGAAAATCATATGAAAAAAAAGGCTCATGATTATTTTTAAATTTATTTCTTCATCTTTTTGCTATCCATAATTACGAGTTTTTTGTCACTGGAGTGATTCACATCCAAAAAAGTAGTGTGCGCCATCGCTTATAAAGAAGCCGTTTTATTTAAAATTGAATGCCGTTTTGGGATAACCTGGTTGTTTATTACGACAGAAACGCAGAGAGAGAGAATAAACTCAATCCTTTAATAGAACAATCCCCTGCAATTAGATGGTGGTCCTTTGTAGCAGTATTTAGGTCATTGTAAGTAAATACGCACACTTCTGCATGATTTTATAGTCTAGCAAAAATACAAGCAAATATGAATAGGACATTAATCATCGGAGAGCTGCGTTCAGATGATTGTTCAATGCGATGTGTGCGAACTCGGGATTATACAATATGTTTGAGTCAACATGTCAGTCCATTCTTCACTGAGAAAATGAACGTGATGCTGGCAATTGACAAACTGCGTATAGACAAGCTTGATGCAGCTCTGTAAATCGTATTAAAAAAAAATACATTTAAAGACCGTTGCCTCAAAATAATCGTGCACAATAAGTTACCGGTAGATGATGATCACAGTGAATACTTACCGCCGTGACCTGGAATTTAACATGGCTTGGTCTCTCTACACAGTGTTACCATCTGCCATTCGCTGCCATGACAATGTATCTTAGTAACAACCAAGCTGACAGGGACTCTGCAACAGCTTATCGTGAGTACAAAATATATTATGGTTTACTCCAGATAAATCATGTTTTTTTTGGATTACTAACAATATTAGGCAGGTGGGTGTCTTCGATTTCTAATTAAGGTAGCTATACATATATAATATGAGTGGGATTGAAAGCTGTCAATATTTGTGGAGCACAATAAAACACTTAAATAGAACGCTGCCCGAAAAAATAATATCATACATATATATATATATATATTATATTTTATGTTACATGGATGACGAAAATGAAATAAAATTATAGAGGACGCCGTACAAACTTGGAAATAGTTGATGTGTAAAAGAGAGTTAATTATTTTTATTACATTTTAATGACAAAGATATATCACAGTGTGTTATTACTTCACAAGGTGAAATGAATGTGGGAGTATAAATATAGTGTCTTAAATATTACCTATGGATGAATTTTAAAATGGACACCGTTTATAATGTACTTGGATTTGCTATATTGCCATTTATGTTTTCATGAAGAAAACGTGAATAGATGATTAAATAAGTTAATATTTAAATAATTACACACAGTGCGAAACGAAATATTGTCTGATATATGCTTTAAAATATAAGATATGTCAAAAATGCATGTGCAACATCTTTCCTTTTTAATTTACATTAAACAAGACACGTCTTTGCCTAAATATTTTGTCACAAAAAATGTAGTACCATTCAACAATATTAGAAACGTAATATTGTGATTGGGTTTGATCTAATCGAACTATTTATTATATTTTAGGAATGACATTCGAGGTGTTTGGGGCTTTACTCGGGGTCGTCATACAAGCGCAATTTCTGACATTTGGCATGAAGCAGGGAGGTAGAAAGAATCCTTGTGCCAACCTAGACATGACTTTACCCGACAATTTTACCAGCATAATGGATCACGGGAACAGCACGTTCAATCACACAGAATTTGACCTCAGCACAAGTATGCCAGAACAGTCCAAGGAAAAAGATCCGATGGTAATCCCATAGTTAGATTTGCATACATTAGCATATGAAACAAGTACTCATTATCATCAATTAGATACAAACATCATAATACCCCTTTGAAGCAATGTTGCTCATGTTATGCATCCATTGCAAATTTGTTGCTGACATGTGTTACATACTTTTTGGAAGTCACATTTCTCATATCAAAGTATGGTGATAATTGTGAGTGCTTTTAACTTAAATTTTTAAAGTTATATCTGTATTGAATTAATAGAAACTGGCTTACGTACTCGCAGCCCTTACTGCTGACTTGGTATTTCTTGTTTGCTGTATAGTACTGACACTTGGCACCAAAGAAAAGAAAGGTGAGACATTTGTCAATAAAAAAAACTAGTGATACGCGTAATGGGAAAGCGGTGTTTACTACTTATTCCGTGTCACTATATGCATAGTTGCATTCAAATCATACCCATACATTGGCATCATTGTTGGTTCATTGGGGCCTGTAGTACCTCTGGAGGTTGTAATGTTCCGCTCGCCCGGTAGGATAATGCTACACATGTTTGTAGTAAACAAATGATGAAATAATTATATCAGTAACACGAAATATATCGTTAATCAAATCATTGCAACCCATTTACATACTATTTCCTTGATTGTGAAATCTTACAGATGATGCCTTGGACAGGAGTAAGAGCGAAGGCTCCTTTTTAAGTGGATTGAAAACTGTACTTTCCCATGGACCATTTATTAAATTACTATTGTGTTTTATGTGTGCATTGCTAGCGCTGATGGTGAGGACTTATAGTAATCCTTCTTGCTATTCTGTATTATCGTGTCGTATTTTATATCACCAGTAAGATCTAGTATGTTACGACGAGGAACATCAATGTCTAAATGATCAATGGGTGTTGTGTGTTTTTATCGTGCATATGGGACATACATGGGAGACAGGTATTCACGTGGGGAATAGGATGTGCACATTATTTTAGGAACATCTGACATCTCTTCTTTCTTGATTCGATTCTGTGTTCTTTTTAATGTTCTTATACATACATGTGTTATGTTTATTTCATATGCAGATAATACAAGGAAATATGGCGTTATATCTTCGGTATTCGCTCCACGTTAAAAACTTCCAATTCATTCCTTTAATTGTGCCGGTGAGTGCTGGCCAATCATATAAATGAATTGCCATTTTACTAATATCAACTTCCTCCGAAAACAGGTATTTGTCTACTTGAAGCAAAATGTTTCAGGATACGTAACTTATATGGCCTAAATGAATATTTCAGCAAGTAACATTGTTGTTGGGAAGAAAACATTACATTGAAAGATTTGCGGATACATATTTAAGATGAATTGTAGTAACGTTGCTTTACATCTTTTTAAACGTAGCCATACCATATTTTAGAATTGTACCTGGGTCGTTTTTTACATTAGGTATTAATATACGGTTTACATAAATGTATCGGCCAATGAATGTTTCTATAGAAATAACAGTCAAATTTGAAAGATCTAAATAACTTGGCCTTACAGTGATCCCATGGATTAACGTCGAATGTTAATGCAATTCTTTATTTGTATTTAGGTGTCCGCGTGTTGTAGTATTCCGATATGGCAAAAAGTAGCAGGCAAATTCGGGAAGAAAACAACGTTGGCAATCGCTCTCGTGGTATGTATGTAGAACCTTGTAAAATTCAATTCCGTTGCTCTGGGCTTCACTTCCATAATGCTGCAATGTCAAACACTGAACTACAATAACACGATTCTTTATTATTAGTGTGAACTACCGATGTATTCGTTATTATCTGTCTTACCTGGAAAACAGTATCTGATATTTCCAGTATATATTATATTGGGTTGCCTTGGAGGTGTAATGATCCTTCTTCCATGGTAAGTCATTTTGTATCACTCAAGGTAAACAAACTAACAATGTAAATGTAAATGTAATCCGAATTTTCTAAAACTTTTGGTTGTCATTTTAGGTCGATGATTCCTGACGTCATAGATGATTTCACAATAAAGACAGGGATGCGAAAAGAAGGAATATTTTATTCCTTTTATGTGTTCTTCACTAAGTTTGCCGTAGGAATGGCCTTAGGCATGTCAACGCTCGCCTTGGAGTAGGTTTTACCCATTTAATTGTACTTTTGTCACGAATTTAGTCATTGGACAGGGTCTTCATACACATATTTGTCTTATCTGCATTAGCTTCATATCCCCACATTTCACTCATGCCTAATCATGTCTAATGATTTTTCACGTATTGTGAAAAGGTATGGAAATGGACGACTGGGAACAACATGACTACACTCATTTGTTTCAGGTTTACTGGATATAAATCCGGTGCATGTGTACAACCACGTGCGGTAGGTGTGACATTAAGAGTACTGGTATCAGCACCATCATCAGTGTTACTAGTATTAAGTCTATTTTGTCTACGGCAATACCCAATAACAGAACAAACACGGGAAGAGACCAGATCACAACTACAGAAATTAAGGTGAGATGGTTCATGTGAATATAAGTATTGTACACAATTCGCTGGTCAGACTACGTCATCAAATCCACCATTGTGTTCAGGCTGTTACTAACCATATTATTTTGACTAAATATCTCCAAATATCAACTGGCAGACAATAAGTATTGCAAACCCCCAGAACATTGTAGTCGATTCGTGTAAATTGTGTCCATCGGAAATCAACCAAGGCCGAAAGTTTCTGGCATAATCAAACAGAATATGACGTGAATGGTCAAAAGGCATAGAAAAATGCTGAAAAAGTGATAGCAGATGATCTCTACAATCCGTTTTAATCATTGATGGGATTGTTCCTCTATGTAAACCATTGTCTTTGCCTCCATATTATCTCTCCATCCTTTCTTCGGTCTTATCCTTTTCTGTGTTCTCTGTCGTTACCTGCTTTGTTCATTTGTGTCTTTCATTCTGGCAATGACTTCTGCTCAAGTCCACTTCAGCTATTTTACTTTTGTCAATATATTTTTCAGTTCTTTTGCGCATTACTTCATTTTGCCGTTTATTTCTCCTTGTATATTTCCAGTAAAGACCTATTTATGCTAATCTGTGTTTATTAGTAATATTTGCTGCCAAATTCTCTTGAATCAAAACGTTTTGATTTACTACAAATACTTGGTTTGATTAATATATTTTAGGGAAAAAAACAGGTCGACTCAGTCCCAAGACCCGAAGCTTAAAGTGGAAAAAATACCAGGAGGGGAAAGTGACGTGAACGAAAATGGATACTCATTTTTTCTATTCCGACAAAGTTACTACTCAAGTTCATCTGCAGAGGGCTTATCCAATCTGTAAAACATAACCTCAGAAGTAAAATGTGGGATGCGAAAATGAGTTTTTTTCCATATGAAATGTATTATTAGGTATGATTTCCCAGTATTATTTGTTATTGTATTTGGAATATTTTTGTAATATTCAAACATAATTATTAAAACTGATATTTTGGTAATTTGAAGACACATTTCACTTTTATATATTAAGACGTGTCATCTTTATTAATAACTAGTCAATTCATATTTTATGCTTAAAGGCAAGGCATAAGAAAGATTAAATCTGGGTTATGGGAGGGTATATATTCAAACATGTATATTAACTCTTGTTTTGTGACATTTGTATATAATCTTTGTCTTTTGCTGAATTTCTGCATTATAAGTCATATGAGCTCTAATTGTATTAACACATTATTTTTAAAATATTAAACAAATCTCAATACACTAGTTGAAAAGTATACACCTCGAGATAGAGAGCTTGATGTATATAATCTATAAATTGAAATGCTATACGTGAAACACCCATACGTTATTAGAAGATATACATCACATACTTACGGGAAAGAGATCATTTTATGGTAGCACTTTACGTCCAAGCTTTTGCAAACAAGGTAAGCCACCATGAGATTGTGAAAAGGTTGGTATTTTAAGAATTGATATATTGTACACTTTTATAAAATATTTTATATCAATCCCTACTCATTTAATTCCATGACCCAAGTTATCAACATATTTACTTGAACACGACAAGAAGCTTCTCATAGTCAAACAAGACTGTAAGCTTGTGATTATTACAAGGGCCTGTTCAAAACAAACTTTGGCAGTTCCAAGCTGGCATGGGGGAAACGTTTGTCACATGTCAGTGCAGCAATGAATGTGCCAGATTATTGTGTTAAAGCAGACGCTCAGAGCTTTCTTATCGCTCACCAGTAACTTGTTCAATTGGTGAATGAAATGATTCATTTTTGGATGATTAGATTTCTACCAGGGCAATAATCCTTTCCATAACATACGTAATTGATATATATATATATATATATATATATATATATATACTGCTGATCTTACCAACATGAACACCATATATGGCACTGTCAACAATGTTCCCTGATTCCTGTAAAGATCACACAAACCAGCATCTTGAAAACAATTTCCATTGACGGTCAATATATTCACATGGAATGTAGAAAGTCAAAATATGATACTACTATGTGTATCTTTATAACTTTGGCATTAGCATAACGTCCAGGACTACTGAAATATTATTCAAATGCAATTCTATCATCATTGACTCGGAGTTACTTGCTTACAGTCTACGCTTTTCAGTCACAGGGGCATTGCTCATATGGAGGTACCCAATTACATATTTGGAAACAAACAAACAAATGATTTACTACGTTATCAGGTAGTACCAACACTTTTGTTTCTCATCTGGAGAAGTGCTGCCAAATGCAGCTTAAATTTCATGATGAACATGCTTTCTGGTTAATTCTGTCAAAGCTGTTATACTTTGGGAAAGCATGCGCCTTGCAAGGACCCAGTCAGATGGTAAAACCCGAACACTTCTGGGCAAAGTCCACTTAGCCTAACAAGTTGTAGATGGTTCTCTTGATTTATTACATTCTACTTCACAGTTTAATGACTTCAATGTCTCTTTTCAGGGTAGATATACATTGTTTATGGTAGAATACCCGTGACACTTACTCTTAATGTTCAAGTGGTTCTACCCACTGTAAAATGGGATGTGTTTCCTTAATTTAGCAGCTTATAATAATGCAATTCAAGAACTTTGAACTTGCAAACTAATCAATCGTTCTTGTTGGTTTATTGCCAATGTCTCATTGAGTATTATGCATCTTCTAATTATCCATAAACACCAAGAGTTTAGTGATTGCCAATCTGGTTATTTCCAATTTGTTTGGGTTTCATTTATAAATTTCTAATCGTTTTGAAGGACAACAGGCTACGTATATTTGATGTGAAAACATGCATAAAGCTTAACACATGAGCTAACTATCACATGATTTAAAGCTGCCTGGAAAATATGAGCTGTTGTCATATGGTATAGATGACCTCCCTTGCTTATGTACAACATGTAATGTGTCTGTTTGTTTGGCAGGAGCAACATACTGTAAAATGACTAATTTTCACTGGGTTTAAATTTCACTGATTTACCATTTCAGGCATATTCAGTGGGTTTTAAATTCACGGTTTCGTCATTTAGATAATGTGTTCTATGCTAAATTTTACATATTCACTGTGTTTTAATTTAGCACATTTTTCCAGTCAGCTAAATAAGCTAAATTAAAACCCAGTGAGTAATTACCCCCTTTACAGTATCAACAAGGCAATATATTTCATAAAAAACATCCATTACTTTTCCATAGCAATTGTACCACATTACTACCTATAAAAACATAACCACTCATTCAGTCTGTGAAATATTACAGCTTAGCAATGTATAAATATTGAACTATAAGATATTAAACATTTGCAATCAACTGTTTACTCTGAAAATAATATATTTCAACCCAAATTTGAATATAGGTGGTTGCCATGGAAACCAAATATTAAAATTTAGATTTTGGTTATATCATACTATGGTTTGATTTGGATTTCTCAGCCCGCGTTCATATTAAACAAATAAATTATGGCAGATGATACATCTTCAAAAAATTATATACAAAACTTCAAATATGTGTTTTTGTCACATATCACATTTGAAAATTTTCCACACATTGATGTTAACTCATTTTTGATAAAAGTGACTTTATCTTTGATTTATACTTGTGACTTTCACACATTATGTACATGGTGAATTCTAGGCAGGAATGAAATCACGCCTGGGTTGTTATTTGAGAAGATTTTTTTTTACTTTTTCTCAGATGTATACAACCTGTAGAAAGAAAAATATTCAGTTTGTAAGGACTTAGTGACTGAGGGTGAATGTCAATGAATGATGGCAATCAGTTTTCAAGAAGAGTTGTAGTCCACTTCGCAATAGCTTTATTATGAAGACAATAATTGGAAAGGCCAAGTATAGTGCTGAGGGCTTATAAAATCTTGTATAAATTGTAACTGTTATACTGAGATATGCTCTCTTTCACGTTTGCTGAAGATGTCAGCATTACGTTAGTTTACCATACAGATACATGTAAACCAATGAAACTGCCATAAAAATGGAAAATTAAACACAAAGGAATTAGCGAAATCAAGTATTTCACTATAAAACCCTTTGCTAAACATCTTTAACCACAGTGTTTGTTGAATACATAAAAAGCCAATAACTAGGAACTTAATACGTCTTGAATTACTGAATCAAATATTATACAATTATGAAAAAAGCTGTCACCTCAAACTATTACCAATGAATGTATATTAGATATTACCTTAGTTTAAAAATAAAATTATGGTGCATTTTGTAATATATGCATGACTACCAGTACAGTAGGTGAATCCACCTCAGTGACCTGTCTAGTTGCTTTACACAGTCATGTGAATCAGTTATTCATTTACACAGATATGTAAGGTGAATGAAAATGAATGAATATATATTAAACTGACTTACAGCATCAATTATAGTTTATGGTTTTAATCAACATTATTACTAACTATACACATACGGCATTCATACATAGTAAAGTAAAATCCGTATTAGAAGCTCCGACTTTCATATAAAAATAGCACAAAACCATGCTTCAGATTTTTTGCAGCTTCTATTAGAGCATCTACACTAAATGGTGAATTTTTGGTTCTCAATTGTTCAAAAAGAATGTGAGCGACTTCTATTTGGGATGCGGCTTCTAATACCTATTTTACCAAACTAAACAAAATAATGTGTAGCATAATTCAGGTGTAAAGAATGCCAAATTAATGATTGAGGTGTGATAGAAATTCTTTAGAGTTAGTTTACACATGTACAAATTATACCATACCCCATCTTACTTTTTTTGTTAATGACATTGTATTTTGAACTGAACTATGAAATAAATATAGAATAAATAGCATAAAGTTACTTGATGTAAACATATTCATTGAGTAATTAAACAGAATGTATGTAATGCAGTAAGATGAATGTATTACTACACAATCATCCGTGACTGAAAAATCAAATACTTATATTTAAGAATTAGATACAATGCTCAATAGTTAAAAATGAATAATTTTTTGGGAATTTTTTGTAACATATCAGCCACCCTAAAAACCTGATTATTATTGGGATTTGTTTGATTTTGCTAACATTTTTTTAACAGCCACACATACAGCAGAACTTAAGATTAACATAGTTCCTGCTACTACCTTCAAATTAGGAATTCTACCAAAAGCAAAATACTCGAAGATAAATGAAAACACCACATCCAATGATCTTATAATTGCAATATAAGCAGCTTTTTCGAGTTGGACAGCCTTTGTGAAAAATAGTTGACCCACAACAGCAAATGCACCAATTAGAAATAAAATAATTCGATCTTTTCTACATTGTGGGACAATGAAGGCTTGTAAAATTGATAAAGATACACTTGAAATAATTATTCCGCATAATGCATAATAGAAGATAGGAATTAACAAGTGTATGCCAGTCTTGAGCTTCTTGAGGCAGATGTAAACAAGAGCTGCAAAGACGGCCCCTACAAGTGCGACAGCTGCTCCTTTAATGCGTGAATGTTTTTCATGGGTGTTGTTACCACCAAATATAAAGGAAGGCTGGACAATAAGCACCACCCCCGATACTGTGAATACTGCCAATAGTAAATCAATAGGACTCAGTTTCTCCCTAAGGAACATCCATGCAAAGAACACTGTGAATACAGGGTTGCTGAAGAAGATTGCAAGAGCATCACCAACACCTATGTGTTGAACAGCAAAGTAGGCACATATCACGCTGAATGAACCAGTTACACCTCGACAGACTAACCAATAAATTTGCAATGGTTTTCTTGGAAAGGTGACGTTTTTACAGACCAAAAGTGGTGCAACCCCCATCAACTGTATTAGCATTCTTGCCAGAGCAACCTCAAATGAGTGTATGTTATTTTCAAAAAATTTGACTCCTACAAACCCAGCAGCAAAAAATATACTGGAAAGGAATCCATACAACAAACCAATATGTCTGCAAAAGTTGTGATGCTTCTTTTTTGACCTCTGCAGCTTATCATCATTATTCACATCAACACCAATTTCTTGTAATTCTAGATTATCTATCAGGGTGTGGCGATCATTGTACAGATCCATTAATTACGGGATCAGGCCACTTGGTAATATGGATATTATGGCCTGGAGATAAATGAGAAAGAAATAACTCATTATCATAAACATTTGACTGTATTCCTACAACTATAATGTTAATTTACATTATCAATAAATATGATTCTTGTTATTGATATGTTTTGTGATACGTATATATGCAATGTGCCATATATGGAGCACAAAGTATACTTGAGTACACTACAGAATGGCTTGGAGTTCATCAAGATCACATGTGTATTAGTCACAATACTTCTTGCATAAAAGGCTAATATCATATTTTAAATAATTTTAAATATTCCCCATTTCTGCTGCATATGCCTCTATAAATATCCTCAGCAGGCTGTAGTGCTTTCTAAGCTTTCTTTGATGGCATAAAGTAGGAAATTTGATTTATTTTGTAATAGAAATCACAAGCAAGAGTTTTGACATAGACGCGATGTGCATACTGATGGCGAGTCCTTTGATACCTTCCAATCACCAAAGAAATTACCTAACTTAAGCTTAGTAATGTCAAAGCCGCCATCTTTGTATCTTGCGCATGCGTGGCGCGACAACCACCGTCCTTTAAATTCTTGCTTTTCGACAAAACGTCAACACTACAAATAGGAAGCAGTAACACCTATGTATAGCACTGTCTTGATAGGGTGAACTAATACACCTACATACAGTGGTCGGGCTGGGGTGGGGGAAGGGGTCGTCTGTCCGTATCATGAAGCTAAGCCCCTGAGGAAGCTTAGCATCTTAGTAGACATATAGCAAGTCTGCCAATCAAGGGTACAACACTTGGCATGAGTTCAAGCTGAAATGCTGAATTGTTCATATTACGGACACTGAGTTGCGAAAACATCAAGTTACAAAAATGACCACGCCCATATTTTAGAAACCATGCCTACATTTGCAAAACCATGCCCTAATTGTAACTCGATGTTCAATTAAACAGTTTTGAGTTATGGGCAACATGCATTTTTGTTTTTGTTGAACGTCCACATTCAGTAACTCAAAGTTTAAGTAACAGTTAAGCGAACTCCGAGTTACGGGCCGGCAACATTGATTTACTGTTTTGTTTAACGTTCAAATTTAGCAACTCAAATTTAATTTAAACAAAACAACAAATCTATGTTGTCTGTAACTCAAACAATTCAGCATCCCAGTTTGAACTCATGCCAAGTGTTGTAGTCGTTATTGGCAGACTTGCTATGTCTACTAAGATAAATATTCATTACCAAATCCTAAAAGAAAAAAAAACGTCGGCCGACGATGTCGTTAGTACAGAATTGTGTCGTAATTTGTGTCAGTGAATACGTCGGCGAGGGCGCAATAACTATCGCCGACCCAACACCGACCGTGTCAGGCTACCTGGATGCGGTCGAGCATTGTCGTCTGCGCGAATTTAGTGAGTCCTCGCAGACGGACTATGGCCAGCCCTTAAAACCCTGAAAAACTATGTCGGCCAATGATGTCGTTGGTACAGAATTGTGTCGTAATTTGTGTCCGAGTAAATATGTCGGCGAGGGCGCAATTCTCGGGGGCGGACATCCGGGCATTTTCTATCGCCTGGCAACCCTTGCAGTGAAAACAAAGACCAAAAACTCGCAGAAAACGGTACTTTGCGATGAGAGTCCCCTGAACAGTGTAACAAGATTAGCCCTACGTGTGTAACATATATGAATTTGGTTGTTCAGGATTACTTCAAAGTTGAGTTTGTGTTGTTTTCTTGAATTTTCACGGGCTCCACCGGCATTCCACAGCAGCGCGCACAAAGCCCATAGAAATACGTGGTACAGTAATGCGCGTCTTAGCAACGTAGAACGTCTGTGACGTAGCTCCGCCCCCGAGGATAACTATCGCCGACCCAACACTGACCTGGATGCGGTCGAGCATTGTCGTCTGCGCAAATTTAGTGCGTCCACGCCGACGGACTATGGCCAGCCCTTAAAACCCTGAAAAACAATGTCGACCAATGATGTCGTTGGTACAGAATTGTGTCGTAATTTGTGTCCGAGTGAATACATCGGCGAGGACGCAATAACTATCGCCAGACCCAACACCGATCGTGTCAGGCTACCTGGATGCGGTCGAGCATTGTCGTCTGCACAAATTTAGTGCGTCCTCGCCGACGGACTATGGCCAGCCCTTAAAACCCTGAAAAACAACGTCGGCCAATGATGTCGTTGGTAAAGAATTGTGTCGTAATTTGTGTCCGAGTGAATACATCGGCGAGGGCGCAATAACTATTGCCAGACCCAACACCGACCGTGTCAGGCTACCTGGATGGGGTCGAGCATTGTCGTCTGTGCAAATTTAGTGTGTCCTCGCCGACAGACTATGGCCAGCCCTTAAAACCCTGAAAAACAATGTCGGCCAATGATGTCGTTGGTACAGAATTGTGTCGTAATTTGTGTCCGAGTGAATACGTCGGCGAGGGCGCAATAACTATCGCCGACCCAACACCAATCATGTCAGGCTACCTGGATGCGGTCGAGCATTGTCGCCTGCGCAAATTTAGTGCGTGCTCGCCGACGGACTATGGCCAGCCC